AGGAAGCATTCAAGAACTGGAGGAAAATTGTATATTTCATCATTGCTACACTGAACCCTGATTGGCTCGTCTTCTCCCCACGACCCTTCTGCAGTGGGATGTCCAGCTGCCCACAGATGGGCCCTGGGTCCCCACTCCGCCTCATTCACAATGCTATGATTTTTTTTGGTCTTTGATGCCTGATACCTGATCCCTTATATGCCTCGTGATCTCACAGGCTGGTGTGCTTCTTCCATGTGGGCTTTGTTGTTTCTCAGTTAGATGGCCATTTATCTTCAAGCAGATAGGACCCCAGACTCTCTATCTTTTGATAGCCGGACACCATCAGCTTTCTTCACATTTGCTTATGCACCAGTTTTGTCTTGAGCGATCCTGTCTGGATAGGCTGGTGTGCTTCTTTCATGTGTTCTTTGTTGTTTCTCGGCTGTTTATCTTCAAGCTTTTGTTTTTAAATCATTTTATTGGGGCTCATACAACTCTTATCACAATCCATACATACATCAATTGTGCAAAGCACGTTTGTACATTCGTTGCCCTCATCATTCTCATAACATTTACTCTCCACCTAAGCCCCTGGCATCAGCTCATTTTCCCCCTCCCTCTCCGCTGCCCCCTCCCTCATGAACCCGTGATAATTTATAAATTATAATTTTGTCACTCTTACAGTGCCCAATGTCTCCCTTCAACCACTTTCTGTTGTCCATTCCCCAGGGAGGAGATTATATATAGATCCCTGTAACCGGTTCCCCCTTCTCACCCCACCCTCCCTCCACTTATCTTCAAGCCTTTGAGCCCTCAGAGGCTATATTTTTTGATAGCCAGGCACTATCAGCTTTCTTCACCTTTGCTTATGCACCCGGCTTTGTCTTCAGCGATCGTGTCGGGACAGGCTGGTGTTTCTTCCATGTGGGTTTTGTTGTTTCTCAGCTAGATGGCCGCTTGTTTATCTTCAGGCCTTTAAGACCCCAGATGCTACATCTTTTGATAGCTGGGCACCATCAACTTTCTTCACCACATTGGCTTGTACACCCATTGTCTTCAGTGATCGTGCCAGGAAGATGAGCATCTCAGACTGCCGAATTGTTAAAACAATTCGTTTCTGTGTTCTTGTGTTGAAGGAGTACTTGAGTAGGGGCCCACTGTTCATCTGTTTCCTTAATACTAAACCTATAAATATATGCACATAGATCCATTTCCCTCTCGTCGCATATAAATATCTTTACATCTTGGTTTAGATCTCTATAAATGCCCTTTGCATCCTAGTTCTTCCTAGAAAATAATTTTTAATTTTTAAAACTATAATTCGAAAAAAGTTAAACTCTTAAGTCAGACTCCACAGAACAATTTCAGGGGGGAAAAAAGTTGAGATACATAAAGTTGTGACACATAAAAAAACCTAGGAAAATATGTGGGACAACTTGGTCAACTTGCAAAATATAATTCATAAAGATTAATTTCTACTTACTAGTTTGGTGAGTACTGTAAAGGCTGTGAGCAGCCCTCGATAGTGGTGTTGCCTGGCCACCACTACCAACTGTTCAAATCAGCTCTCAGGACAGAAGGGGAAAATCATGGAACACACTCAAATTCTTAAAAAGCCCAAATTCACTGAACCAACTGAGATTAGAGGTCTCCCTGAAACTACTATTCTGAGATACTCTTTAAACTGAACCAAGACTATTGTCTGAGGTTACCTTTTAGCCAAAATAAACTTGCTCATATAGATCACCCGTATGATGCATCTTTGAAACTCATCATCACTGTACTCAGGGTTCACCATTTCCTCTTCAACAAAGACAAGACACCAAGAGGGAAAGGAACCCAGATCAATGAACAACAGGAGTGAAAATAAGGACAACGTGAAAAACATCACCAATGTCGCTCAACAATGTGTGTAAACCACTGCTATATGAAAAGAAATCCAATTTGCTGTTAAACGCACACAAAAACACAGAAAAGCTTTTCTAAATCCATAAAAGCAATGTTTCCTACCGGCATAGAGTAGGGACCCAGTGAGGGGTCTGAGGGGCTGGGCCCAATCCCAACTACGTGGACACTTGCCCCTCTTCCCAGAAGAATTTATTTCAGAGGACAGCACTGAAGCTACAGCTCAGGGAGAGGGACATGTCTGATCAGAGCACATGGGAGCAAATG